ATACGTATAAAGGAAAATCACGAATGGAAGACTGCATTCAACACTAGATCCGGTCATTACGAATATACTGTTATGCCATTTGGGCTTTGCAATGCCCCAGCAGTATTCCAAGAATTTATTAATGATGTCTTGAGAGATTTTATTCACACATTTGTTATCGTATACTTGGACGACATTTTAATATATTCTACAGATATACACACTCATCACAGACATGTTACGACAGTTTTGAAGACCCTTCTTGCTAATGGTCTTTATTGCAAGCTAGAAAAATGTCTGTTTGACCAAACCGAAGTCCAGTTCTTGGGGTATTTGATTTCCGCTAAAGGTTTTCGTATGGATCCCCAGAAGCTAGCTGCTGTAATAGAATGGCCTCTACCGCAAGGTCTGAAAGCTATTCAGCGTTTTCTTGGGTTCTCCAATTATTATAGACGTTTTATCAAAGGTTTCTCGTCCATTGTAGCACCTATTACCCGTATGACTAAAAAGGATGGCAATACTCGTGTTTGGTCTACCGAGGCACTTCAGGCTTTTGAATTTCTTAAAACTACGTTCGCCTCTGCACCTATTTTACAGCATCCTGTCCCCTCACTGCCCTATATTCTTGAAGTTGATGCTTCGGATATTGGGGTAGGTGCTGTCTTATCCCAAAGAGAGTCGCCTGAGAAGCCATTGCATCCATGCGGCTTCTTTTCTAAACAAATGTCCAAAGCAGAGAAAAATTATGATGTGGGTAATCGCGAACTCCTTGCTATTATTTTAGCACTTAAAGAGTGGAGACATTTGTTAGAAGGAACTAAGGATCCTATCCTCATTTTTACGGATCACAAGAACCTATCCTACCTTAGCGAAGCCAAAAGATTGTCTTCCAGGCAGGCTAGGTGGTCACTATTTTTGTCCCGTTTCAATTTTATTATCACCTATAGGCCAGGTGATCGCAACACTAAAGCAGACGCTCTGTCCAGACAGTTCGAAACTACTGACAAACAGGAGATTGATGTTACTCCTGTCATTCCCCCAGACAGGATAATAGCTACTACTATTTTGTCTATTTCCTCGTCCCTCTTGCAGGCCATACAAGCGAAACAAAGCATGGCACCTAGCGAGAGGCCTAATGATAAACTGTTCGTTGATGTTCCTGAGAGACGGGATATTATGTCATTATATCATGATACTAAGACCGCTGGACATCCTGGTATTTCCAAAACGGTGTCAGCTGTTTCTCGGTATTTTTGGTGGGATTCCTTACGAAAAGATGTCACTGACTATATAAGTGCTTGTACTACTTGTGCCTGTATGAAATCCTCCCGTAGAGTTCCTTGTGGGCTGTTGCATCCGTTACCCGTTCCCGAGAGACCTTGGTCTAACCTGTCCATGGATTTTATTGTTGAATTACCCCCTTCAAATGGTAACACAGTGATCCTGATGATAGTGGATCGGTTCTCCAAAATGGCTCACTTCGTGTCTCTTCGCAAGTTGCCCACATCCAAGGAACTGGCTCATATCTTCGCTAGAGAAGTATTTCGATTACATGGGATTCCCGTATCTATTGTATCCGATAGGGGTAGCCAATTTATTTCCAGGTTCTGGAGGGCCTTTTGTTCAGAAATGGGTATTTCTCTCTCATTTTCTTCCGCTTATCATCCCCAGTCTAATGGGGCTGCTGAACGTGCCAACCAGTCTCTGGAGCAATACCTCCGTTGTTTTGTGTCTCACCATCAGGACAATTGGTCTGACCTGCTTCCTTGGGCTGAATTTGCTCGGAATAACGCCACTCATGATTCTTCCGGCAAGACCCCTTTTTACGTTGTCTATGGCCAGCATCCCGTTGTTCTTCCGGCTGCATTCTCCTCACAGGGCATGCCAGTTCTGGATGAGCATTTGGCTGGTTTGCGTAATACTTGGGAGCAGGTTCAGCGTTCTTTGGTGGACTCTGCTACTCGCCAGAAGGCTCAGGCTGACAAGCATCGCAGAGCAGCTCCGTCCTATGTTGTGGGGGACAGGGTTTTGCTTTCCACGCGGAATATTCGTCTCCGGGTGCCTTCTATGAAATTGGCTCCCCGCTTCATTGGACCTTATCGTATTATACATAAGGTTAATCCTGTTTCTTATGCCTTAGGCCTGCCTAAGAATCTACGTATTCCTAATGTTTTTCACACCTCATTGTTGAAACCTTTCGTACGCAACCGCTATACCCGGCATACTCCTCCTCCCCTCCTATCTCGGTGGAGGGTCATGAGGAGTTTGAAGTGTCTGCTGTTCTTGACTCTCGTTTCCTTAGGGGTCGACTTCAGTACTTGGTACATTGGAAGGGTTATGGGCCTGAGGAGCACAGTTGGATTTCGGCTGATGCTGTCCATGCTCCCCGTCTTGTGCGCTCTTTCCATTCTCGTTTCCCTGCCAGGCCTGGTCCTACCCGCCCGGGGGGCGTGTCCTCAGGGGGGGGTACTGTAGCGTTACTTACCTTAACCGGGGGTCGGTCGCGGTCCTCTCTTCAAGCCGCGCGCGGTCCTGCGGCTGCACGAGCCGCGCGCGGCTCATCCAACTACTTTGGATGGAAGGCGGGCAGTGACCGCGTGAGGCGGTCACGTGTCCCGCCTGAAACTAAGAGCGCGCCGCGAGTCTCGGGCGCGCTCTTAAAGAGACAGTGTGAGCCTAATTGCCAAAAGGCTCCCATTGGCTCCTGTCATACCACACTCCCTGTACAATTACCAATTACCTATGGGGGGTGTGGAAGTGACAGGAGCCAATCACTTTGGTTTAAAAGCTATTTAACTTACCTTTTTCCCTTAGCTCGTTGCCCTATCGTGGTTTCTGTTTCAGTTCCCTTTAGCGCTTGTGGTGTTCAGTTGTGTTTTCTTGTATTGACTTTGGCTTCGTATTCTGACTTCGTTTTCGCTTTATCCTTATCTGTACTGTTTGCCGGCTTGCTGTTTTCCGTGTACCAGACCCGGCTTGTCCTAGTTTACGCTGTCTCTCTGTGCCCTTGACCTCGGTTTGTTCCTGGCTCTGTCTCCTCTCATATACGTCGAGTCCGGCCATTCTAAGGTCCGGTAGACGTATCTCTCCTCTGTATTGGCTTCTGTTTAGCTGGATCCTGCATGTAGGGGTATATTCTCGTTACATTACGATAGGGCCATGGACCCCGCAGATTTAGCTCAACAGATGGCGTCCCATGAGGCAAGATTTGTAGAGCAGGATCACCATATGGATCAAATAGCTCAGGCTCTCCAGACGCTCCTAGCAAGAACCGTTCCAGTAACTACACCTAACCCTCCTACGCCCCTTCTCCCTGAAGTATCTACTTTGCCTAATACTTCGGCCCATTTAACACCTCCTCCTAGGTATGGAGGGGACTCTAAGACTTGCAGAGGGTTTATTAATCAGATTGAATTTCACTTCGAAATGTATCCACGTTTATTTCCCACAGAGAGGTCTAAGGTTGGGTTCTTTATGCACCAACTTACCGATAAGGCACTTGAGTGGGCAAATCCTATTTGGGAAGCTAATGGACCTATGGTACATGATTTCAACAGATTTCTTACGGCTTTTCGTAGAACTTTTGACACAATGAAAAGGTCAAAGAATGCCGCGAGAGCATTAATGAGAATTAAACAGGGTTCTAGGTCTGTGGCTGATTATGCTATTCAGTTTAGCACTCTTGCTTCGCAGGTAGATTGGACCAACAATGGGTTAACTACTGCCTTTATGGAAGGTTTGTCAGATACGATATTGGATGAGGTAGCAGCTAAGGAGCTTCCTATCGCCTTAGAGGACCTTATCGATTACCTCATTGATATTGATAATAGAATTCGTGACAGGCTCTATACCAAGAACAGGA